TCAGCACCTATGTTGCACACTCTCCCTTGCAACCCCAAGGAAACATGGACACACCAGCGAGTGAGAACGAAAATGTGACATCTGCTGTGTCGTGGTGTAAATTGCGTAAAAAGTGAGAACGAAAACATGGACACACCAGGAGCTAAGATGGAAATTGCGTAAAAAGTTAGAGGATTATCTTCTTTAGGAGGAAATAAGTTGGAGACAAAAATCATGGTGTAAATGGCTGAAGGAAGGGGATAGGAATACCAAATTTTTTCATGCGGTGGCAAGTGGAAGAAGAATAAGGAATTTTGTATCAAGTCTAGAGATTGAAGAGGTTACAATATCCACCCAAAGAGAAACAACAGAGGCTTTTGCAAATCACTTTAGGTCTATCTTTAGAAAACCCCTAAATAGTAGGGTGTGGATTGAGGGTATGAAATGGTCAACTTTGCAGATAGAGGATAGGGATTGGTTGGAAAGGAAATTTGAAGTGGAAGAGATAGGGAAGGCAGTGTTCTCTATGGATAGATCAAAGGCACCAGACCTAGATGGTTTTACGATGGCTTTTTATCAAGATTGTTGGGAGATTAAAAAGGAAGATCTATGGGCTGTGTTTGATGAATTCCACTCTAGAGGGGTGATCAACCCAGGGCTGAACTCCACTTTTATTGCACTAGTTCCTAAGAAGAGGAATGCATGTCACCCAAAGGATTTCAGGCCGATCAACCTAATCAACAACCTTTATAAGATTATCACCAAGGTGTTGTCCATCAGAATAAGGGAAGTGCTCCCAACAATTATAGCAGATAATCAACGAGCCTTTGTGAAGGGGAGACAGATAACAGATCAGATTCTGATAGCAAATGAGAGCTTGGAGGAGTTTAAGAGATCCAAGAAAAAAGGGGTGATTTGTAATCTGGATTTGGAAAAGGCTTATGATTTGGTGGATTAGTCTTTCTTGATGGAGGTGATGACCAATTTTGGTTATGGGGATAATTGGTGCAAATGGGTCTTGGGTTGTATCAGGAACTGCCATTACTCCATACTGGTAAATGGGATAGTGGTCGATTTCTTCCCAGCCTTGAAAGGGATTAGGCAAGGAGACCCCCTCTCTCCCTTTTTATTTACTTTGGTAGCTGAAGTTCTGGGGAGACTAATTTATAGAACAGATTCCAGGGACTTAATCAAAGGTTGGAGAGTTGGGAGGGAGCTTGTGCCACTCACACATTTGCAATTTGCAAATAACACCATACTCTTTTGTGAAGTAGGGAACCCTAACAGGATTAGAAATTTGAAGCTCACTATACGACTTTTTGAGCAAATGTCAAACCTTAAGGTGAATTTTGAGAATAGTTGTATAGTTGGGGTAAATATGGGCGAGGGGGAGATCTCTGAGGCTGCAGACATCTTAGAATGTGCAATAGCAAATTGGCCCCTTAATTACCTTGGTTTGCCATTGGGTGATAACCCTCATAAAGGCGAGTTTTGGGTTCCGGTTGTGGAGAGGTTTGAA